CATCATGTTAGAAGAATAATCAGATCACACTGAGGGGGTAAATCAAAAGTGCATATTTTCGTATCAAATATCAAGAAGCACCTACTTTCCCGTTCGTTCTTGAGAGTAATGAATAATCTCTTAGGGCGGGTCAAATAATGCACGTATTTGTATTGAACCCTACCTAACCAGCTTTTGCTTTTATTTGATCGCTCTCGATCAAGTCAAATACTTCTTCAACCGCATTCGAACGTACCCTTTTGACCCGCCCTTACGGCAACTGTAGCAACTCATTTGTTCCAATCCCACCGCCATATGCGGTAGCCAATGAAGCTCCTGGGTACGCGATGAGGAAGAAAGATGGAGATTTGAGATGGCCTTATCCATCTGTGGGGATCGATTTTGAGCCCTTGATCCTCCCTCTCGAGATTTCAACGCGTCACAATTCTTCACACCGGGCAGCTCGAAAACTGCATTGTTATCACAGGTTCTAACACCGGGCAGACTGCAAATTGCATTATTGCACTTGAATTATCACCGGGGCTGGATAATTCACATTCAGCAGCCGCTCCTGGCGAATACTCTCGCGCATTTCACGGCAGCAGGCAGAAAGTGACGCCCTCGGCGTCGCGCTCCCGTTTTTCTTGGTCCATGAAAATGGACTCATCCTAACTATAAATCCTGCCGCTAACATGCTCTAAACCATCAGACTCAATCCATATTTTTTATCTCAGTTATCAATCTCTCCCAGCCCATTTCGTCCTCTCAGTTTCATACTTGCCTTTTCGATCTCAGATATCTTTCGCGTTGAACGCCATCATGGCTCGTGCCCTTCTCCCCGTCAGCATCGTGATCTTCCTTGCTGCAATTCTGGCGCTCTCTTTCGCCCAAGGTACGGCCCGTATATGCCATCGCGTATCCTAAGCCGAGGCCCTGCCATTGCGCCCTCACGAGTCGTGTTGCATATTTCCCTCCTCGTTTTTCCCTCCTCACTTTCGCCGCCAGCCCACGCGCTCCCACAGGCCACACTTAGTTCAACACGATTTCCACATCACTCGTTTTGTCCACATGCAGCCTGTGGCAGCTCAAGAGCGGCTCTGGGTCTTGACTGAAAAACGCTCGTCTGGCGCTTGCGTATTTATTTGCACGTGGCATCCTCTTCCTCTGCCTGACTCGTGTCTCATGCAGGGGGGAACTTCCTCTGCAAGAGCCACAAATTCAGGGGGGAAGTTTCCCCTTGGGAAGTCTTATCTCACCGTCCGCCAATCCCCTATCCACCACCCACTCCCTCCTGCCTGAAGCACACTACATTCAGTCTCCTCAACAAAGAAGTGATCACTCCCCTCAATCCGCCCACTCATCCCCATCTCACTCTCCCCAAGCCTCCTCCGCTTAACATTCTCTTTGCCCCTCACTCGTCTCACTCCCCTTAACCTGCCCCTACCAGCAACGAGCGCCGAGGCGGCAGGCGTCGTCACAGCAGAAAACGCGGCGAGTGCCATGCAGCCCAACGAAGTGCCGCGCGAGCAGCGCCACCGCAAGCTCGTTATGTTTCCAAACGGTGGTGAGATGATGGGAGCGAGTACGGACGAACCAAACGTAGAATGAGCGATCAAGTTCTCTGGCGGTCCCCCTCTGTGCATTCTAGCCGGGTTTCCAGAGTGCTCGTTTCTCTCCAAATGTCTGTTCTTTTCCTTGCGGATCGCCCCGTGCCGTGCCGTCCGGGATTGTGAAGCGACGGCCTTCATTTCTCTGCAGCAATGAGACACTACCCGCTTTGATAACGCATTTCTTCCGGAAAAGGCCGAAAATAATCACAACCCATGCTCCTCAAACCTCCTATTCTGCCTGCTTCCTCACTTGTCGGTCCCTACTACCACCACCCCAGGTATTTCTATCCCATGCTGGTCGGATATCATTCGAAAGACGCAAAACTGCAATGCCCAGAGCAATGACGCCCGACAGAAATGCGTTGACGCCCTGGCGCCGCTGCGTCGGGACTGCCTTGCTGGAGTGGTTTCCGCGAACCCCACTAACGACGGTCAAACGACGAATAACAACGGGGGCCGACAAGGCACAAGGGCGAATATGCACAGTTGGAACAACTAATTCTCTTCAACTTTGTGGATCTGCCTGGCCCGTGATCTACGCTAAGGGGAAAGGAGTAGTTTTGGAAGAAACATGAGTGAAGGAGAAGTGACGGGGGAGAAATGACTAGAAGAGGATTGACGGGTGGAAAAGGTGGGTTGGTACATGAAAGTGTGTATGCTTTGGTAGGGTATTGAAGCGTTTGTACTAGGCATTTGTGAACAACACAATTGAAATCTCTCGCTTCAACTTTGTGTTCAACTGTGATTGGTCGAAATTTTCTGGTGCTGGAATGAAACTCCCGTCAAAGTTCCGTTTTGGCAAGGTCAAAATTCATTCGTGAAAGGCCCGTCAAAGGCGAGTCAACGGGGATCAACGCAAGTCAACGGAGTCAACTCACCTCGCCGCCCTTTGACGTCAGCCGCCTCATGGACCTCTCCGAACACATCCTTCTTGACTGCCTCGCCTCCCAGGTGCGTGTGCAGGGGCTGGTAACGAGAGTCAACAGGAGTCAAAGCCAGTCAAAGGAAGTAAACGCAAGTCATGGTGACTGCCACCACTCCTTGGATTGCGTAGCCAGCTACGCACATGCCAAGTGCCGTGTGAATGAGTGAGTCCATGCGTTTAATGGCCGCCGGTGCACTGCCAAGCCCACCCTCATTCTACAGCTTTCTCTCTGCTGCCTGCCCGTACTCTTTCCTGACTGACCAATGGCCACACCAAGTAAAGGAGATCTCAGGCTGCCTGCTGTTCTGCCACCTTCCGAGCATTTACAAGCTGCCCAGGCTCTTTTTGGACACAAACAACTGCTTGTGCCCCTGTCCCGACCCTCCCCTTCAGGTTCGACCGCTGGTTTGTGATCACACAGCGGTGGCTCTACTTCCAGGTGACATCTGGTGCAGGTGACATCTGGTGCAGGTGACATCTGGTGCAGGTGACATCTCGTGCAGGTGACATCTGGTGCAGGTAGCATCTGGTGCTGGTTGCTGCTGTTCTCAACTTAACACCCCCCATCTCCACACTTCTTGTCAACTCCATGTCTGCTTATCTCCACCATTAGCCCCTCGGACCCTCCCACCCTCGGACCCTCCCATTCGTGCTTCCTCCTTTCAAGCCATTGTTCATCCCTCACCTCACTCCCACTCGTGAAGATCCTTCTCTTGCATATTTTTTCTGCCCCTCTCTGGCACCTTCCCTCCGGCCCCCATACTCCCCGTTCTCCTCTCCTCTCTATCTCCTCTCTCCCCTCTTCTTCACCCCTCTTCACTCTCGCCCCTCTCATCTCTCCCCTCTCCCCTCTCCTCTCTCTTCCTTTTCTTGGCAGCCCTTGCATCCATCCCTTTCCAATACTCCACCCCGCCCACTGCCCCCACTCCTCCCTGTTATCACCGCTCTCCCCCCTGTCCCATCTGCCGCCTCCTTGTCCCCTCCTTCCTCCTCCCCCTCCCCATTCTGACAGCCACTGCACGCCATCAACCGAGAGAATCCCCTATGAATTTTCCCGCTGCCCCTCCTCCTCTCTGTCCTCACCTCTCTCTGCACCTCTTACCTATCTTTCAGATCTCCTTCCATCCCTCCTCCCTCTGTCAGGTCAGCCACTGCACGCCATCAGCAGTGAGAGCCCCCTTCGAATCTTTCTGCTGCCACTCCTCCCTGTTTTCCCCTCGTTTTGCCCTCTACTTCTGCCCCCCAAACCCCCTCCTCTGGCAGCTATTACATGATTACACGTGTTATGTGATGCTATCATTCGCATTCACGTCTGTCTGCCTCCCATCAAATGTTTGTGCATTGCATGCGTGGTGTGAGCGTGTGCAAGAATTTGTGATATGCGCGGTTTGGAATTTCTTAGTGTGTGTGAATGTTATTTGGCTTGAGCAGATATCTGAAGTGATTGCTCTGCTCGAGAGCTTTCCGACGAACCAAGAATCGTCGCGATCGGAGCAAGAACAAGAAAGTTACGGACATTGGAGTTCGTATGCTTTCTGTACTTTGGTTGCGGCGACTTTGGGAAGTTGTGAGAGTGACTCAATATGGGGTACAGACTTTTAAGGTTGGGACATTCGAACCCATCACTGTAGATTGCTGCCATGTGGTTGGGAGAAGCCAAACCAGGTTGGCAAGTGTGGCCAAGTGGGTTGAGGTGGATGGCATGAGTTGGGAAAGTGACAAATGTGAAAGTGGGGTTGCCTATGGAGAGGGGAATTGTGTGGCATGGGGTTTCCTTTGGTTGGGGACTCCTTGGGACCTTCCCTCTCGTCCTCCTCATCCCCTCCTACCTGGTTTAGTGCTACTCCAATTCTCTTGTGTGCAACTTGTGAGAACTTGAGTTAATTGTGATTGAGTTTAAAGTTTCTATGGCAGCATACCCCCTAGTGCGCCGAAAAGCATAACTCGAGATATACTCCATCTTTTGAGGTGATTCAAATTGGGAATTGTAGCCACGGTCTAGTGCTACAACACATTTGAGTTTGACGGAATTCTAACAGTTAGTTGTTCGTCGACGACGTTTCTTGTGAAATCGCGGTTTCTGTCCAGAATTCTAAGCCAACGATTTTGAGTTATTTCGGCACCTATTCTTCATAGACTCGATCCTTAATCTCTAACAAGTGGTATCAGAGCTGATTAAGGACTTTGTGGGGAGTCTACTGAAGTGTGAAGACCCTCCTAGACCCACCATGGCCTGTGGGCGTGCCTAAGTGGAGCTCTGGAGGTTGGGAGTGACTTCCGCTAAGGGGAAACTCTGCCGAAATTTCGTTGGTGCCGACACTTGTGGAAATTGTGTGGGACTTCGGTGTGGACAGCAAAAGGGGAGTTGAAACCTCTAATTGGGAGCAGAGGAAATGAGTGGAGAAGCAGCTGAGAAGAGGAGTGAGCCGCCACCATCCAAGATTGAGGCGTTGGATGGCTCCAACTACGAGGAATGGAGCGGGCGGATGAGGAGCGTCTTCAAGCGCTACAAGCTGCTGAAACTCGCGATGGGAGAAGAGAAGATGCCGGAGGAAGGAGATGCCCGCGACCGATGGATTGAGCGGAGCGCGGTGCTGTACGACCTGATTCTACAGTCCGTCAACAACGATATGTTCCAGCATATCAAGGATTTGGTGGAGCTGGACGACTCCGGACCGAAGGCGTGGAAGCTGCTACGCGACGTGGTACAACCCAACACGCTGCCGATGGTGATCGTATTGGAGAAGGAGCTGGCTGCCCTCTCCATGAAGCCGGGAGACGATGTGAAGCCGGTTCTAGACAAGATCAAGGATACTTACGCGAGGATGGCAGCGGCCGGCAGCAAGGTGTCGGAGATGCAGCAATGCACCAAGATCATCTCGGTGCTCGACAACTCATGGGACAACCTCATCCCCACCCTCAACGTTCAGCAGGACAAGTGGACGCCTGAGTGGCTGCGGCAGCAGATCCTGCAGGAGGACTTCCGCAGGCGCCATACGGGAGGTGGTGCTGCCAACAAAACTGCTGAGGGATATGGAGCTGCAGGAGGTAGTAGAGGAAGAGGGGGAGGGAGAGGCCGAGGCCGTGGGAGAGGCTTTGGCAGAGGAAGAGGCCGAGGTGACTACAACGAGGGGCATGGGAGCTCTGGTGGCAGGGGGAGCACCCGAATGGAGGGTGCGTGCTGGTACTGCAAGAAGGCTGGACACCCGTGGTTCAAGTGTTTCAGCCGGCCTGAGGGATGGGCACCTCCAGGCATGAAGCCGCCAAGTGGTGAACGCGCACGAGGTGGCGCTGTGCAAGGTTCAGGTGCACAAGGTGATGGTGCACAAGGTAAAGCTGACCCTGGGTTGTTCCTCATGGTTGAGGATCCGAAAGTGAGTGAGGATGATGTGGGTTCGGTTGGGAAGGTTGTGATGCACCCCCTCACTCACTGGGTGATAGATTCAGGTTGCACGAGTCACATGACTCCGCGGGCAGATTTGCTTGACGAGGTGAAACCCCCTGGGAAGATCAAGTTTGTGGCTGCCGCTTCAGGTGCTTTGCTCCCTGTGATTGGTGTTGGGAATGCCAAGGTGATGGGAGCCAATGGGGGACTTGTGGGACTTGGGAATGTCCTGCTAGTTGAAGGTTTATCCGCTAACCTCCTCTCTGTGCGCCGGCTGCAGAAAAGTAAGGCCAAAGTTACCTTCGGCCCAACCAGCTGCCGCGCGAAGCTTGGGAAGTTGCTGCTGTGGGATTTGGAGGAGAAGAGCAGCTGCATCAAGGACCTGTGGCAGCTGCCCATCATCCCTTGGAATGGGAAACCACCAGCAACGGCAAAGGCAGCGGCAGCGGCTAAGGCAACTGCGGGAGGAGAGGAGACTGCACCAACTGCTGGGGCCCTGGATGCAGTCAAGAAGGTGCAGCAGCCACAGCAACCACATGGTGAGGTGCTTGCTGGTGTGGATGCGACAGCTGCATGGGCGAAGGCTTCATCTGGGAGTGGTGAAGCCGATTAGGAAACGTGGCACGAGAGGTTGTGCCACATCAACATTCCGATGCTGCAGAAGTTGGTGAAGGATGGGAGCTTGAAGGGACTGGAGGTGAAGGGGGCAGCAACGGAGATTGGGAGCTGCCCTACGTGCCTTGAAACGAAGTTCACGAAGTTTCCCTTCAGCAGCAGCACGGGACCAGCCAAGGCACCGCATGCGCTTGTGCACATGGATGTGGTGGGTCCTACGAGGGCCCCTTCTCTCTCGGGCAGCCGCTACTTCTTGACCATTGTGGACGACCACACGCGTGCGGTGTGGGTCTACCCTCTCAAGACTAAGGGGGAGGTGGCAGCGGCTGTTCTCAAGGAGTGGATGCCGAGAGCACAAAGGGAGAGCGGACACAAGGTGAAGGTGATCCGCACCGACAATGGGGGAGAGTTCATTGGCGCTGATTTTGAGGCGGTGCTGAAGAAGAAGGGGATTCAGCATCAACTTACAGTGCCCTACAACCCGCAGCAGAACGGCGTGGCTGAGCGGTTCAATCGGTCCCTGCAGGTGCTCGCACTCTACTTGGGCGTGCAGGGTTGCCGGATCCGTTTTGGGTGACTGCACTAAGGCAGGTCGTCGTTGTGAAGAACAGGGTGCTGGCGACAGTGGGGGACAAGCAGTGGGTCCCCTACACCAAGTGGTATGGGAGTGCACCAGCAGTTAATATGTTGAGAGCTTATGGGTGCATGGTGGTGTTTCATGTGCCGAAGGAGAAGAGGGGAAAGCTGGAAGCTTCTGGGAGATGGGGTGTGCACTTGGGACTTGCTAAGGATCACAAGGGCTGGCTGATATGGGACTTGACCAGCCAGCAGCTGACTGTGTCAAGGGACGTGAAGTTCCTTGAGTCCTTGTACTACAAGGAGTGGAAGCAGCAGCAGCAGAAGCTTCCCAGAACACCGCTGATCATTGAGGCCGATGAGGTGCAGCGGCCTTCAAGGCAGGTGGAAGTCTCCGTGTCGGGGGAGGAGATCTCTGGGGTGACTGAGGATGGGGGAGAACCTGAGGTGGTGGAGCAGCAGCAGCAGCAGCAGCAGCAGCAACGTGCTCCACAAGGTGCCGCACATACGGCTGACCGTCCTAGGAGGGATGTGCGCCCTCCTAACCGACTGACCTATCCGAGTCTTGGCAAGCCAAATGTGGTACCTGCTGGGAATGTGGCTAAGCAGTGTGATGCGGATGAGATAGCCTATTGCTGTGGGGCTACATTCAGATGCTTTGGAGGATAGTGCCGTGTGAGAGAGGCTACAGTGGGGTGCTGCAGATTTGATAAAAATGGAGATGTTGGGAGTGGGATGTTGGAAGGAGATGTGCAAATGCCCTTGATTGGGAAATGCATGAATCTTGCTGGAATGAGTGTGCACCGAGGGTGCATGCTTGAGTTATGGCATGTGGATGATGGTTGGCAGCCAGAGGGGGAGTTTGTTATGTGATGCTATCATTCGCATTCACGTCTGTCTGCCTCTCATCAAATGTTTGTACATTGCATGCGTGGTGTGAGCGCGTGCAAGAATTTGTGATATGCGCGGTTTGGATTTTCTGAGTGTGTGTGAATGCTATTTGGCTTGAGCAGATATTTGAAGTGACTCCTCTGCTCAAGAGCTTTCCGACGAACCAAGAATCGCCGCGATCGGAGCAAGAACAAGAAAGTTACGGACATTGGAGTTCGTATGCTTTCTGTACTTTGGTTGCGGCGACTTTGGGAAGTTGTGAGAGTGACTCAATATGGGGTACAGACTTTTGGGGTTGGGACATTCGAACCCATCACTGTAGATTGCTGCCATGTGGTTGGGAGAAGCCAAACCAGGTTGGCAAGTGTGGCCAAGTGGGTTGAGGTGGATGGCATGAGTTGGGAAAGTGACAAATGTGAAAGTGGGGTTGCCTATGGAGAGGGGAATTGTGTGGCATGGGGTTTCCTTTGGTTGGGGACTCCTTGGGACCTTCCCTCTCGTCCTCCTCATCCCCTCCTACCTGGTTTAGTGCTACTCCAATTCTCTTGTGTGCAACTTGTGAGAACTTGTGAGTTAATTGTGATTGAGTTTATAGTTTCTATGGCAGCATACCCCCTAGTGCGCCGAAAAGCATAACTCGAGATATACTCCATCTTTTGAGGTGATTCAAATTGGGAATTGTAGCCACGGTCTAGAGCTACAACATACTCGAGTTTGACGGAATTCTAACAGTTAGTTGTTCGTCGACGGCGTTTCTTGTGAAATCGCGGTTTCTGTCCAGAATTCTAAGCCAACGATTTTGAGTTATTTCGGCACCTATTCTTCATAGACTCGATCCTTAATCTCTAACAACTCGCCATCAACAATGAGAGCCCTCTCTGGATCTTTCCCCTGCCTCTTCTCTCTGCTCTCACTTTGTTTTTCCCGTCTCCCGCTAATTCCTTCCCCCCGCCCCCACCCCCTCCTCTGACAGCCACTGCACGCCATCAGCAGTGAGACTTTCCTTCGAATCTTCCCGCTGCCCCTGCACTTCTCTTTATCAACTTTGCACCCCTCTTCCCTCTCTCCCTCTCCCCCGCCCCCACCCCCTCCTCTCACAGCCACTGCACGCCATCAGCAGTGAGTGTCCCCTCCGAATCTTCCCGCTGCCCCTCCTCTTCTCTGCTGCCCGCCGCCGCCACTCCCTGCGCCCCCACGGCCTCGAAATTTTCTTCTCCTGCCCGGACCAATCACAACGTTCCACCTCAGGAGGCTCAGGGGGAGGCGGCCTGGAGGGGGGAGGCGGCGCTGGTGGGAGAGGAGGGGAGCGGGGCGGGCGGGGAGAGTGGGGGAAGCGGGGGGGGTTGGGGAGAGTGGGGGGAGTGGGGGCGGAGGGCCGTTGGGGGATGGCAGCAGTGTGTTCTTTGTGTTTTGTTCCAAGGGTGAGAGAGACCGAGCTGCTGACCTGCTGCTGAAGCTGCTGGGAGTGAGTAGAAAGGGTGCTTACTTGTCTGTCCTCCCCTCTCTGTTTACGGATGTTTGCTTTTGAGTCGACTCAAAAGAGGGCCGTTGGGGGATGGCGGCAGTGTGTTCTTTGTGTTTGGTTCAAAAGTGGAGAGGGACCGAGCTGCTGACCTGCTGCTGAAGCTGGTGGGAGTGAGTGAAGCAAGGTGCATTTTCTGGCTATCTTCCCCTCTCTGTCTACGAATGTTCCATGCCCGTCTTGTCTTTTGCCCTCCTGTTTCCCAGTCTCCTGTTGCTCACTCTTCTTTCCCTCGTTCCCCAATTCCTAACTCTTCGGTTCTCACCCTGGGCACTTTTCACTATCCCATTTCTCACTCCCCATTTCTCACTCTCTCACACTCTCCCATTTCTCACTCTCCCATTTCTCACTCTCCCTTTTCTCACTCTTCCCATTTCTCACTCTCCCTTTTCTCACTCTCCCATTTCTCTCTCGCCCATTTTTCACTGTCCCATTTCTCACTCTCCCATGTCACTCAGGGTGTGTCCATCCCAGCAGCAGCAGCAACATCGCTGCTCGAGGCTCGCTTGCATGCACTGCAGGCCGTCACAGGGCTCTGGCAGGTGGGTTTTGAGGTGACTTTTGAGTCGACTTTTGAGTCGACTCAAAAGTCATCCCAGCAGCAGCAGCAGCATCGCTGCTAGAGGCTCGCTCACATGCACTGCAAACCGTCACAGGGCTGTGGCAGGTGGGGCAGTGTGGCAGGTGGGGCAGGGAAGTGGCTGTGACTGGTGGGGCAGTGGCAGGTGGGGCAGGGAAGTTGTTGTGACTGGTGGGCCAGTTGCAGGTGGGGCTGTGGCAGGTGGGGCAGGGAAGTGGCTGTGATTGGTGGGCCAGTGGCAGGTGGGGCTGTGGTAGGTGGGGCAGGGAAGTGGCTGTGACTGGTGGGCCAGTGGCAGGTGGGGCTGTGGTAGGTGGGCAGGGAAGTGGCTGTGACTGGTGGGCCAGTGGCAGGTGGGGCTGTGGTAGGTGGGGCAGGGAAGTGGCTGTGACTGGTGGGCCAGTGGCAGGTGGGGCTGTGGCAGGTGGGGCAGGGAAGTGGCTGTGACTGGTGGGCCAGTGGCAGGTGGGGCTGTGGTAGGTGGGGCAGGGAAGTGGCTGTGACTGGTGGGCCAGTGTGGAGGTCTGGTATATATATATACATATATATAAATATATATATATAAATATATATATATAATATATATTACCATGCTTAGTGCGCCACTCCTCTCATCTCCGCCATATCAACCCCCCTTTCCCTCCCCCACACACACGACACATGCATCGGGATGGGAGTGGGACCGAGTATTGAGAGGAACGTTGTTGTACCACTCGTTACAATCTTCCAAGTTCCAAGTTCCTACTCCGGGTCTCATATGATGTCGCCGATGCAAAGGTCGTTTCTTTGGGTCTCATATGCTCTCCACTGATCTTCAGGGCATCACATGCACTTAGGGCGTCTCCCACATCCGAGTTTCTTGGAAGACCAATGGTATTCTAGTAGTGTAGCCGAAATGCGTCCTATTGGTCGTCCAAAAATTTCGGATGACATGAACAGTACTCTTGAACCGAGCTGGGACATGCCCTCACTCACACACACCCACTGCCCCTACCTCCTGCACACACACCAGATGCCTCGGAACAAGAGTGAATCAAGGGCCCTGCCTTTGAGTGGACAAAAAACTAATCTCATACTCATCACCACCCCACCAACCCCACCCACCTCCCCTCCCTCCCCCCCCTAACTCCGCACAATGCACACACACCAGATGCCTCGGGACAAGAGTGGGTCAGAGCGCACGAAGCCTTTTCTCTACGGCACTCACTACTCCACTCCTGGGTACGCAATCACATATGCCCTTAACAAAGGCGCCTATGAAATCCGCCTGAGAAGGCACCTAAAGATCTGTAGTCCCAATCAGTGATGTGGAGCTGCCTCCTTGGTACGTGCTTCTGATTTCTGAGGCGTGTCAAAAGCCGTCTCAGAAGAGATAATAGTAAGTTATGGAACACTGTAATTCAATTCTGTATTAACAATTAGTTAGTTAGTGCCTTGGTGATGCCTGTTGTGGAACTAAGAGTCGACCAATATATGTGGGTTATGAGGTGGCGCACTGTGTTTGCCTGCCTATTTCTTCATTGTTTTTTTGTGTGCTTCTTTTCCAAACATCAAACATATTTTCGCACACTCCTTCACCTGCCAAATGCCATTCGTATTGCGATGATTTTCTCACGCCCTCCATCCTATGTAACTGCAACCTTCAGTAACGCCCTAATCTTCTCCACCTCTCTCTACCCCTCAATCTACCGCACCACCGTACTCCACCCATTCGTTCTGCCAGGGCGAACGATGCAGAGGATTTCATAGTGAAGCACGTGCAGGCTCTAGAAAGCGAGTGGGTGTCGGCGAATCTCCACCATTGGATCGACCTGATCATTGGATACAAGCAGCGAGGCAAGGTGCTGCTCCTGCTCTCTCATATTAATCCCCCCATAGCCCGGTCATCAGATCATATACTATGACCTTGCTTCAGTTTTGAGGCGCTTCAAGAATAACCCGATCATCAGACCATATGCCATGCCCTTGCTTTATCTGCTGTGGCTTTCTCTGCCATCCTCTCACTCGC